TTTTTTTTTTTTTTTTTTTTTTTTTTTTTTTTTTTTTTTTTTTTTTTCATCTTTCTTGTTTCATGCTTGTTTGGTCGTTAAAATCAATTTTGTAATTCAAGTTGCATTTTTACGCCGAAATATGGGTATATGTATATTCCAAACACTACTCGTACGAAGAGACTCGCGGCCAAGACTCGAGAGGTAAGTATTTTCTAATTATTATGAATTTTGACAAGCTCTCACGAGTCGTAGGACATGCATTTCAAGGATAGACTTTACGATACGTAGTAAGTATATGTATGATAGAATGATAGATTGAAAAAAAAAATATATATATCTCCAGAATGAGTATAATATAATGTAGTTGTTGGCTTGATGTATTTTCGTTCGTGCATTTTTTTTTTTTTTTTTTTTTTTATTAATTTACCACAATATGATTAATATGATGATCGATTCAACGTTAATACTTTCAATCTATAGGTGATTACAAAAAAGGGAGCGTGTGTAGGTGATAATTAATTAATGACAACATTAGACGATTCGTACAAAGTTGGGTGAGTTAAGTAAGATGTGCTGAATCGTGAATACATACGGTGACGGAGCTTTTTTTGTTATTATTATATTGTTATTAACAAACCTGACAGCCAATTAGTTTCGTTTTTTTTTTTTTTTTTTATTTGCAAATGCAATGCTTCTTTCTCTTTTAAAGATTATTTGAAATGACAAAAGCTAATGTACCTACCTTCGGAGTAAATAAAAAGCGTGCGTTATTATGTTCTTATGCACGCGTTTCGTGTTATTAATCTGCATTTTTTTTTTTCTTTTTTTCGTTACGTTGGCATATAGCTTTGGTGCATTTGTTACATATAAAATGCAAACAACATATTAATCTTATAATTAATAAAACGAAAAAATCAGGTTTGTTAGTATTTTCTTTTTTTTTCCTTTTCTTTTTTTTTTAATATTAGTGTTCATGCACGTGATTGGCTACGGTTCATGGTAAAGCTCACACAGTTAGTATAATAAATGAAGAGAAGAGACAAAATGGTTAAAGTGAGTGAAAAGTGTGTGAGAGGTTTTGAAGACTGAGACAAAATTAATGTAATATTAAATGCACAAGCGAGACGAGACAGCATACTGAAATTTCATCGAAGCTTTTCTATAAGCACAAGTGCAACTTATGGTAGCAAGAGCGACCATTTCCCCCAAAATCGACGAGTACATTTTTCAAAGGGTAAAAATAATAATAATAATAATAATAATAAATAAATAAATGCTCCGATAAAAAACGCTTGTAACAAGTAATAAAACAAACAAACACAAAACATGTAACAACAATAACGAGGACGACGACGGTGACAAGAGAACATCAGGATGAATCGTGGAGCGTCCTAGCTGGCGTTTTGTCGAGTGGCGGGCGCAAGAGCCACCAGGGCCACCTGGGGCACCTTCCTGCCAGGCGTCTTTCTGAGCCCGATCATCCGCTGCGCGGTCTGCAGCTGATGCTGGGGATTCGTAGCGCCAGCCGGCAAGGGCGCTATCAGCCTCTCCCTCGGCCTCGTTTTGACTACCACCTCCGGCTGCTGCCTCGGCTGCAGATGCTTCGGTTGGTGCTGCTGTACCGGCNAAGAGACTCGCGGCCAAGACTCGAGAGGTAAGTATTTTCTAATTATTATGAATTTTGACAAGCTCTCACGAGTCGTAGGACATGCATTTCAAGGATAGACTTTACGATACGTAGTAAGTATATGTATGATAGAATGATAGATTGAAAAAAAAAATATATATATATATCAATTAAAGCATGCTCGGTAGCAATATCACAGGATTACCCAATAGAGACTGATAAAAGATTGTACATGAGTAATTAGTGAATTTTGAAAGAGTCAAAAAAAATTCGAGATTTTATCTGATCGATTGATTTTATTTGTATTTTCTTTCATTACCTCTCATAATTATAACTGACGAATTCGAGACACGTTTTCGAATTTTTTTCCTTTCTTTTCTTTCTTTTTTTTTTGTTTGTTCTTCAATTTGTCATCGTTACATATACAAATAACATTATTGCCAATTTTTTTTTTTTTTTTTTTTTTTTTTTTTTCCCTTCGCAGCTACAGCATCCCCGAAAATCCGTGCAACAAACAACATCAGCGTCAACTTTTTCCTCTGCAAGTTTTTATGCGCACCGCCCGGTGCAGGAATAAATATAAGGCCCATCATGAATATGCGAGCACGACCGCGCCACTGCAATGAGACAAGCTCATTAGCCATGAAAGTGTAATACACCGAAACATATATACTATTTACGCTGTTTGTTGGCACTGTCGAGAATCGAGGCGACGACGAGGAGGGTGTTGGCTCGGGGCGGTCCGTCGAGGGTGCACCTCATGTGTGTCATCATTCTTCAAGAGAGCCCCACACAAGCTCCGGAGCCACTTGACTTTTAAGGGCTGCTATACTCGTACTATACGGCTCCCTCGTTACGTACTATGCGTGTGCACACGAGGTTGTTTTTATATTTTTAATAATGTTTTTTTTCTTCTTCCCAAGCAAAATATATGCGGGGGGTTTTTTTCAGCGATGAGGAATGCGATTCGAGAGTTTTATTTGCCGGCCTCGATAATAAAATTTAATTTGTACATTCCTATGGTGAACTCTGCGCGGGCGGAGGGGAATTTCAGCTTGGAATTCTCGGGGAGGCAGAAGGCAAATGGATATTTGTTGTTATATTTGCGCTGTTGAAAAAAGGTCGAATTTCAGCTGGCACGATGTTCGTTCGACAGTTGAAGGAAAAACGTAATCAGTTTGTGGAATAACTTTTGCTTCGTCGTTCTCACGGAAAAAAGTAATATTGAGAAATTAAAAAGAAAAAAAAAAACAGAAAAATTCTCTTCGCGTCAACCCCCTCGGGGACCCCGTCCAGCTGCCGGCTCCTCCCCAACTCCCTCGTGATCGCGACGTCTACAAAAGTATACTATTATATATGTATATACATACAAAACTCGGTCAAAGTTACTTTATCTGCGGTTGTTGTTTGGGGAGACTTGCCGAGCTTGGCTTGGAGGTCGAAGGCGCGCGGTCTGATCGGTAGCCGGGGCATGGCTCCCCAGTCGGTTCCGCGGTTCTCGACAAAGGCCCGCAGCGCGTCCGGGTCTTGGAGGGCAGGCATGCGCTCTGTTCGATCGAAAGGCAATTTTAGGAATTTGACTGTACAGCCAACCAAAAAGTCAGGTGGGTGTACGACGTACTGTTGCGCCGATCCCGGCGGGTCTCGGATTTCTGCATCAGCACGACCACGAGGATGAATAGGACGTAGACGAGCACGCAGCCTTGAAGCAAAGTTTTTTAGTATACGAGGGTTAGAGGAGAGGGAGAAAGTGAGATGGGGGAGGAGCTCACTGCAGGCCTCCCATAGGTGGACTACGTCGTCGGAGACGACAAAGCAGATCCAAGCGGTCGCGAGGACGTAGAAGGTGGCGTCGCGCATGAGGTACCTGGGCTGGACGCGGAAGGGGGCAAACACGGCCACGGAGCCGGCTATGACGGCAGTGACGAACACCCCGGCGCCGATCAACTCGGTGAATATCATGAGCCGCTCGTCGGCGCTCGAGACGATCGAGGTGAATATGTCGGGGGAGCCGTTGCCGAACGCGAGTATCGTCACCCCGGCTATGTTGTCCGACAACCGGAGCACCGACGCTATCACCGACAACGACGGGCAGAAGCTGCGGTTGGAGGACCCAAATGGTGGTGTCTTTTATTTCACTTTTTTTTTTTTTTTGGGGGGTTTACATGTGGGAGCGTACAAGTTGTCGGAAGTGATGGCTAGGATGAGAAAGAGGTAGAGGAGCCAGAGGAAGAGGAGGGCGAGTCCGAGGCCAAAGAGGTTGGGGTTTGCCGTGCCAAAGGTGCAGAAGAGGAGCTTGGGGTACGGCACGAAGGAGCCCACTTGGCAGTCCTCCGTCTCGAGGACCCAGTCGCATCGCTGGTTCTCCGGCACTTGCCAGACGTACGAGCAATCGTCCTTCCAGAGGTTGATTAGTTTCCTTTTTATTTTTTCTTTTTTTTTTTTTTTTTTT